CACAAGGCTCTGCTCTTGTCTCTTAACCACACCATTCAATTGCACTGGCGTTGGGGGAGCGTGCACCTCAAAATATAGGAATGATAGTGTTTGAATTATTCCTTGCTACTGTAAAGCTAAAAACAAAAAATAATGTGTTTTTCATCTAAAAGCATAACGTGTATTGCAACATTTTCTTGTTGACCATGTTACAATAATGTTCCCTCAATAATAATAGACATTTTTTCCTCAGTCCAAGCCAGCCTTCATTGTTTGTGCTTCACGTTCTTCAAACGAGAAGCTGTTCAAGGTTCAGTTTGGCCATTCAGCCTCTCCGAAAAACTCGGCAGAGAATATTATTTTCTCAAAAACGCAAAGGTTTTCAAAAGTAAAGTGTAATGCTTATTTAATAAAATTTTCTGAGCTAAGATTATTTCATGCTGGACATAACTGCTTCAAAAATCTTCTGTTGGTGGCAATTGAACAAATACAGGATCAAATGTCATTTTATATTTTAAATTAACTCTTTATCCCACTCATAGTTGTCCCACTAATATAAGTGTCTGCTCTGGGGAGATCTCAAACGTGTAGTTTATGCCAGGCAGCCCAGGAATTTACAGGAACTGGAGGTTTTTTTTGCCAAGAGGAATATGCAACTTTACCATCAGAGAAGATACAGAATCTCAGACCACAACTACCACAAACGCCTCCAAGCTTTCATAGATGTCAGGGCAAAGGGCAATACACGCTATCGAGAACTCAGAGATGGAAAATTCTAATTAGGGTCAAAAGAGGAGATCATTTGAAAATAGAAATCTTGTTTATTTGACAATAAAGGGCTTCACACAACCACTAACACTGAGCGAATTTTCTGAAATATTGTAGCAATTTAAGGTTTCCTTGAAATTTAAGGTGAATAACAAATAAATGTATTATTATTCAGTCATGATCTCTAAAACAGTAGCTCAGTTGGTAGAGCACTGGTCTTTGGACCTAATGGCCGTGGGTTTGAGCCCACCACGACCCATATCACCTGCTCCCACTGATGTCTGCTGACGTTGTGTCCCTGGACAAGACACTTAACCCCACATTGCCTGAAGCCCCTGCTGAAAGACCAAGGCCATGTCTTTGATCAGAGAGAAGCCATCATACCTGCTGGAGGAATAGAGAGGGACTGGTGCATTGAGACTTGGGTGGTAGCTCTGATTGCCACCCCACCCTCCCGACCCAGAAATGGATCAATGAAGGGGTAGAAAATGACATGACATAATCTCTAAATTATGACAATCAAAATTAAATTTCTAGCTGGTTGTGTTAAACTTTCAACAACAATTTTAGTATCAATGGAATATGTATGCCTGGTGCTACTCTGTGTATAATCATGGCTGGCGGTCCATTGGCAACCATTGTTTTAAAGTAATCAAAGAAAATTGCAAATACAACTTAATCTAGTGTCAATTTCAGTTTTTCTTGTCAAAGCAAATTATCTGTCCATCTCCTCGCGTACAAATTCAGAGCAATCAGTGCATTCATTGATTTGGCACAGGTTGCTTGTCTTCGCTTCCTGAAACATAATTGCACATATGGAATATTATGGCAACAACACGTCAAAAAGAAACTAATTAAGCGCCTTGAATAATAATGATTTTTAACAAAAACAAAAATGCACAAAGAAGCATCTTGACACATCACACAAATTGTAATCTAATTTATCGACGCCTGGGCCGAACGTGATGGGAAAGGCGTACGCGGTCTTGGCCAATCTCTCTTCCGGCGCGCTATAACTCAGCTTATTGGCGCCCTGCCTTCCCCCTCCGCCCGTTTTTAGCCGCTTCCTCCTTTCAGTGCTGCTGTAAGGGGTCACATGTGACAGGGGCCTAGAGTCACCGAGCGGCACTACAAAGATAATTGCCATGTGATAAAGAGGTGATTGCGCACTGGCACCAGGGGAGACTAATGCCATCAGGTTGCCATAAAAAAGCAGATGCCTGACACTAAATGAATGCTGCGAAAAAGCCAGCGTAACTCACTCCTTTTCATCTCCTTTGTCGCTCCTCCCCGCTAACCCGCTTCTATTCTTTCACCCAAGGAAAGGCGGAAAGGACACTTGATTCAGAACCGCGGCCATCTTCAATAAAGACTTTTGAAAGCCTTTGAAATGACTCCAAAAAGGAGGACGGAAGCAACAAGTCAAACGGAGACTTTGATTACTCTGTCAATGGATTATTTATTTATATTCCTTATCAAAGCGTGTTTGGATGAGCCACGCAATTCTATTATAATTACATGCTTGGGATTCCAGTTAACATCGTTTTAATTTTGAAAAGAAGCGGGCAGTACTTGTTGTTCTTTGACAATCTGATGGCATTTAGCGTTATCTGAAGGCAAGCGTTAGGATAGCGAATTGGGGTAATCTTGGTGTTGCTATCAGTACTTTGGAAACATTACATGCAAATTCTTCATGAATTTAAAAGTAGGAGATAATTATTGAGCTACAAATATCAAACAACATTTGAATAATAGCATCTTAGGTGTAGCTTATTGGTTTATAACTTTCGGGCATTTTTAACCAACCGTGACTGACTGTTGTCTTTGGCTGTGTCATTTACACACTCAGAATGTCCACTGATTTTCATTTTCTGAATATTTGATTCTCAGATGATTCAGCAGAGTTGGCCATTTACGTATGCTCGAAGAGGGAACAAATCCACTGATCACTAACTTCATTTTGAGTGAAGCCTTCAGGGCGTTAGGGTTTTCTGCTGATGACTAATGTAAAGCAGTATATACTGTGGGTCTATGGATAATACTCCCTCTATTGAGATATTAGTAAGTAAGTAATATTTATTTATATAGCGCATTTTACAGACCAAGGTCGCCCAAAGCGCTTTACAATGTTCAGAGTCAGATATTGTTCCAATCCTTCCACACACGGTGATGACAGAAGCGAGTCCAGAACACACTGGACCATCAGCTCCAACACCATCCATTCACTCTCTCATTTACATTCAGACCTATTGTGCATGATTTTAGTGGTAGGGGAAACCGGAGCACCCAGAGGAAACCTACGCAGACACGGGGAGAACATGCAAACTCCACTCAGAAAGGCCCTGTTCCGACCGGGATTCAAACCCAGGACCTTCTTGCTGAGAAGCGAGAGTGCTATCCACTGTGCCACCGTGCCATATTGTATAAACTATATAATCGATGACCACAACCTACTGTAAATAGTTACCATGTTCTAGAATAATATTTCATTTGGAGAGCAGGTGCCAATTGAATTCTGGGAAAGAAGCATTTTTGAAAGAAATGTTTTAAGGGTGATTAGATTAAAAAACCTGCTACATTATTTTCATGTCTGAGATGCATTTGCCAACATCAGGTATATGTTTTTGAAAATTGTCACTTTTCTCACACCTTTTTGAGAGAATAATGAGACCGTAGTTGATTTTTTTACAATTTTTGTTTTATTTGGATTGAACCAGCAATTACAGAGACAGTTACCATAGTTACCAGGAAAGTATTTTTTCTGCCGCCCTCCACCACGATGTTAAACTATAGACTCTTTGGAAGGTTGTGATGTTACATGAATGCAACGTTTTCAGATCGAAGCACATTAGGTCTCCTTGAAAGTTCCGACCATTCATAAGGTATAATGGATAGTTCCGACCATCTATGTGCACTTAAAAAACTTTGATCGAAAAAAACCTTCCCTATTTCTTCAGAGACTACATTGAAATATGTCAGGAGCTACAAGCTACTTTTATAAAACAGTAATGACAGAAAGAGACTCCTTTATCTGTACTCGAAAAACATTGTAAAGCACTTTGTGTGACCTTGGTCTCTGAAATGCGTACTTGCTTACTTACTTACTTTAGCAGTTGTAATAAAATTGTTGGCTATAATTTAAAATAGAATTGTTGGCTATAATAACTAAATTGTTGGCTATAATAACTACAGCACACATTTAAACCACAACATTTAAAGTTAAAGGTAGTAGGAAAGAACCGCCCTCTCCACTTTTTGAACAAAACTCTCTGATATTATTTGACGAGCATGTGTCACCAAACTGATGGACAATTGGGAGGACTAATAGTCTTGAAGATCCACCCGGAAGTAGAAAATCCTCCTGTATACCTTTAAAATAGATATATAAAGACTCAAGCGGGAAACATTCAGGATCATGAGTTCAATTCTTGAATCCTTTGGGGAGTTACCTGGCGGCACGGTGGCAGAGTGGTTAGCACTCTCGCTTCTCAGCAAGAAGGTCCTGGGTTGGAATCCTGGTCGGAGCAGGGCCTTTCTGAGTGGAGTTTGCATGTTCTCCCTGTGTCTGCATAGGTTTCCTCCAGTTTCCCCTACCACTAAAAACATGCACAATAGGTCTGAATGTAAATGAGAGAGTGAATGGATGGTGTTGGAGCTGATGGTCCAGTGTGTTCTGGACTCGCTTCTGTCATCACCGTGTGTGGAAGGATTGGAACAATATCTGACTCTGAACATTGTAAAGTGTTTTGGGTGACCTTTGTCTGTAAAAATGCACTATATATAAAAAAATAAACATTACTACTTACTACTATCTGAAAGGGGTTGGTGAGCTACTGGTAGCTCCCGAGCCACAGGTTAGAGTCCCCTGCCCTATAAATTCTCAATACTGATTATCACATTCCAGCCAGGTTGTAAAACAGGACAAAATTGGAAGTTTTTGAAATCCACCAAAAAGCCTCCATCTTCCAAAGCATAACAGCATTGTTGCGCCGCCTTTCCAGACCCCATTCACAGCCTAATTGGGGGCAGTCGTTACCCCAGTGCCCGCATCAGCGCGATGCCAGTCCTATTTGTTTGCGTGTCTCGCTTTTGTTTAGCTCCTTGTTCCCTCGCTGTCTTGTGCAGCTATAACCCCCTTAAAGGCTCAATTCATCTTATTTGGAAAGGAATGGATGATCCCCATTTGTCAAGTTGATAAAATTATGCAAATGACAAAAGGCGTTAATAGATAGCAGTGGAGAGGCTCGCGGTTAATGGATGAGGTGTCAGCGCTGGGCATTCTGCGGCGGGACAGCTACTTTCAGGTTAGCTGACAGGGGCACTGAGGGAAAATAATTAGCTTTTCCCGTTTGCACTGTCCCCACATGCAAATCCAAGCAGAATGCCACAGTCTCCTACCGCCAGCACCGTCTCACAATGTTGTCATTAGCATCGGCGCCGGTGGCAGGAGAATTCGATTTCCACTGCTCCGAGTGGCCATCACCACCAACTCCACAGACACTTTTTAAATAATTTTATTTTTTTGTTTCCCATTCAGTAAAAAGTCATGTCAACTTATTTGGGGGTCATCTAAATACATTTTAAGTACTTACAAAATAATCTATTTTCCTATTTCAGCAGGAAACGAGGGATAAGAGTTTTTTTTGCTTCTTACTAGAAACCATAGCTGATTGGATGAGGGCTACTTATTTAAAAAAAATATGATCTAAAGATGTGACAGAGGCCCAAAGTGTTGCATTGGAAAACAAGTGATGCAAACAGTTTTGAGAGCTAAGAACCTTCGTTATTTTTAATGCATAGTGTCTCAACAACGGTGTATTAGGGCGGCCTTATTATGGTCAGACTCAGTGACATACACCAAGCCTTTGTTTGTTATAATGTTGATGATCATGGCTACTAAAATATTCATATGTTAGGGTTGATACAATCAACAATATAACAGATATATATCTCCCTTTGTGTGTAATGAGTCATTTATAGTTTCACACTGTTTCGCCATACGTTCAAATAAACAGACATATTGTTTCACCTTCCAAACTAGATAAGTTATGTGTTAGTTTGGGAGCGCTCCATCTCTCACCTGCAGTGCCTCAGCTCTAAGCATATGCACAGACAAGGCCAAGAGGTGGGTCCGCTGCCTGCGTTTGTATTCCTGCACCACACAGCTCGGCAGGTCTGACGGGCAGCTACCGCGCCTACAAAAGATTATCGATTGCCAAGATAAACCTAGTGGTTCACAAGCTGCAAAAGCCATTGTACATTGATGGATTTTTGTTGGAATTAGGCATTCAGCATGTGGTTTGCCTGCATGGGGAGACTTAAAGCCGAATGCACCCACTTAAATAGTGGTCTGCTCATGCATATGTGTGAGCTGATGGGGCCAGTGCGCCAGGGACAGCGCTAATACATATGAATACAAGAATATTGATTTTATCTCTTTGTCGGCCTGTCCAGCAGCTGAATATAAACTCAGAACACTCACTCGGGCTTGTAACTTGTAAGCTTGTAACTCGCCCCTGTGGTGGCGGCTGCTTTAGGAAACCACTATAACATTTTTCATTTTGGCTTCATAACTCATTCTCAGTGAGTTATTGCTCAAATACTTCTACTGTTTTTTCTTGTTTACAATTCACAGAGCTCAAGCATGGTATCTGGTTTTGCGCATCGCTTGTGTCAGCCATTTGGATGGATGGTGAATCATTTTAAAACATTAGAATTGGCTCATACATCTGTCAATTTAGCAAAAATGAAAGCTGAGGTACCAAATGTTCAAACCAAACGAATTGAACGATGTAATAAAATCCATGTAACTAGTTCCTCGCTCTCAAATCTATTTGTTTCACTCGTCACTCATGCATGTCTTTTTGGCCTCTGTCACATCAGCTTTTTCAGGCGGCAAAGTGAAAAAGAGAGAACCACCCTCAATTAGCCCCTCGCTCAAAGACTCAAAAAGTGACATGCAGGGCTCTCAAAAGTAAAGATAACATGTTTTCTGATAAGATGAAGACAGCCTGTTGTAGTCTGATCTTTTCACAAACGTTCTTTTAGAATTCTCTTTCTGTTGGGACGAACAACATGGACCTCATTATTTCATTATTTGTATGTATATGTATATTTTGCAAAGTTATACAGTACATATAGATAGAATGAGATAAATCAAAATGTTGATATTGAAGCATTACAGCTACCTAAGAAACATACAGCAGCTACAGTACTTACAGTATGTTGTATATTTTGTATGATCTTTGTGTGCTCTTACTAGTCTCCTAATGTGCGCTGCAACATTAAAATTCCCCACTGCGGGACAAATAAAGGATCTCTTATCTTAACTTGTATAATAGTACAAAAGAATAGTCAATTTTAGGGTACCACAATGTTTTGTTTTTTTTCTGATCACCAAATCTTGCCCCAGGCTTTCTTTAGTGTTTGTTGTTCAAAAAACTTAGACTCAGATTGCTAAAAAGAAAGTTGACTAATATAATCTTGCCTTTCTACAAACAGCATTATTTGTTGTGAAACATCTAGGGACAGAGCAATAGGTTTAAATCTACTACAACATTTTTCAGCGCGCGCTCTGTAGCTGTAATTACATGCGGCGTAAGTAGAATGAGAGAGTGGTTCAGGCCAAAAGTCGTCTGCAACATTTCTAACAGGCCTTTGTGACGGTTGACAATCTCACGGAAAAGGGAAGAAAAAAATAATGTGCACTTGTCAATGTCTTGATTTGTATGAACCCAACAGACAGCGATTAAACGGTTTGTGCTGCATTTGAGAGGCGTCCCGCTAGGAGGACAGACACGTTCTCTAAACAGAGGCTGACAGGCTCCTCTTGTCTCTTCTCTTCTTTCATTCCGCTCCACTTTCCCTTCACTTCCATCCATCACCTCCCTCTGCTCTTGCTCCTCTCTTCTTCCCTAAACTTGCTGTACTTTTCATGACCATCTAACCCCTGGACCACTCTCTTCTCTCGCACTTGGATTCATCTGTCCATCCAAACTTCATTTCTCCTCCTCCATCAATTCCCCCTGTCCCTCTTCTTTAGCTCATGCAGCAGCAGGCAGCCATCATGGCAGCCAGTCACGGAGGTTACCTCACACCCAGCGTGGCGTTCCCAGCCACACATATCCACCAGATGGGGGCGCTTAACATCAACAGCCTGCCACCCACCCCCATGACCCCGGTGTCGGGTGAGTTTCATCAAGCCCTGGGTGAGCACTTTCTTTCATTTTCTTTTCTTTTTCTGCATGCAGCCTGTATTTCTGCACATACCAAGGTGTAACAAGTGCCTGATGTCCTAATGACCCAATACCTTTATATCATGTGTTCAATCCTTTATGGCCTTCCATAGAAGCATAGAACAATGTTACATGTTTGCATTATCAGTATTATTATCATTATTAATGCCAGTTATTGTAACACACACAACCCTCACACATTGAAGCTTGGGTACCTAACTTTTAACAATTTGAATGATGTAATAAAGTCCATCTAATTGATTCCTTCCTGTCAAAACAGTTTGGTTCTGACACTAGTTTTCACGTGCATGTATTTTTGGCCTCTGTCACATCAGAAATAAAAGTGAAAAATCAGCTCTCGACACAAAGGCAAGGTAAAGACAGCAGAGGTCAGATTTGCTCTCTCGTTACTCACACAAAACTCCTTTGCCACAAAATAGCTTGGTGCCCCAGTGTTTCTATTTATTACACTGAAAGACTTTTTCATTAGCAAAAAATGTATAAACTTTCATCAGTTGTGCATTCACCTGTGTTTCCAAAAGAATAACATTATAATGCAGTAGATCTTTATTTCCATGCAGAAAATAAGGAGCTATCACTTCTTTTATTGGTTTAGATTACAGAAGAGTGAGCTACCAAAGGCCTTAACAACATAAAGTTTCTCTTGTAATGTGGTGACGTCGTTCATCTCCATAGTAACTCCACATATTTGAGGACAGCCGGGTCATAGCCAGCGTCACTCTACACTACATTCCACTTAAGACGAGGTGATTTCAGTTGAAGCAGGTGCACTCGTGTTTCAATTTAGTGAAGAAGTGGTTTTCTATCAAAAATTCAGGACTCTATTCCCTCTGCGACACTGAAAATTGTCTAAGAAAGCAATGGCTACATGCTTAAATATTCACCAGTCAGCTGTTTGATGCAATTTAGCAGGTTGTGTAGTCAAGTCACAACAGCAAGTTTGAAACTCGTGGAAGTGATGCACCACTTCAAAAAAAAAGTAGAAAATGTAAAAAGACTGTAATGCAATCAGCTGTTATTTCACTGAAAGGCAGATCATTAGTGAAGGTAGAATCTCAGCGCAGCCCGTCTTTAGCGGCTGAGTTACACCTGGGGAGTGCAGATCTCCGCATGTGTGCAAATGTGAGCCGTGGTGTGTGTTTGTGAAGTGCTATTGTTGAAGATCAGTTTGTGTTTTTGATCACGCTTGTGTAAATAAGAGTGTGTAAAGAAGCCACGAGGCTGTGCCCACATGGTGCTATAATCCAAAATTATTCCAGTGGAGAAGAAGAGGCAGAGATGAAAAACACATTGAGTGGATTTGCATGTTTAAGTTGTTTGTGAGAGCAGGAAATTTGGGAATAGTTGCGGCGGAATAAGGAATATCAATAAATGAGTTTACAGATAAGGCGCTAATTTCCCCATAGTATTTTGACCTTGGGCTTTGAAGAGTTTGCACATGATCTGCATGCAGTTGGCTTTGTTTTCCATAACAAACAGTGCCTATGCAGAAGTGTTACACAGGGAGAAGGACTTTGAAACACCTACCCACTGCATCACATTTGCTTATTCAGCACCACTTGATTTTCCTTGAGACAGTGGAAACTTCAAGATTTCCAGTGAACAAAAGCTCGGGCTGAAATAAATAATACAGTATCCAGTCTTTGTTGTGCTGCGCACACATACTTTGTCAACACTGCAGTATTGAGTTTTTAAGGTGATGACTTTGGTAACTTTAAACCAATCGTTGTAAGAGAGAACTGCCATCAGTGCAACAAGGCCCATTTGAGTTTTTCTTTATATCCATCATCAGCCTCAGCTGCAGCCTTGCCGCACTATATCACATTTTCTCTGCTCTGTGTTTTATGTGAGCAAGAAGAATTTTCCCTCAGCCTTCATCCACACACTAATGTACACACAGTGACGGGCTGCTTTTATTTGCCACTTTGGGCCAGTGTCTCTTTATTCTTTACAGACATTCATTCATCCAGTCCAAGCTGAACCAAAGAAATAAAAGCATTTATTAAACATATGTTCACACATGCATGCAGCCTGATGCCAGTGCACACACATCCACAATCACTTCAGGCAATATATCCTGAGAAGACAGCCATTTGTCAAATATTCACTGTGATGTTTTCAGTGCAAAGTATGCACTTTTGGGCGGGGATAATCAATCAGAAACAGTGATTAAAAGCAGAGCCCCGTCTTGCTGAGAAGCATCTTATTTTGATTGCTGAAGCACTGACAGCATGGCGATACTCATTGTCGGCTTTAGCGCTCATACCTGTTTCTTACTCACAATGTGCTGATGAAAGAAGCTGCAACTGTGCGTCTGCATGGAGCACAATGCATGGAGCACACACACGCACACACACACACACACACACATGTGTGTGTGTCCGGGCTGTTTGGTACTTTGTGAAGATGTACTTATATTTTCATGGTCATTTACCGCGACTTGTGAGACATAACTGGAGCAGAAGAGGTCCTTCTAGTTGCATTGAAATGCAGACAGTAAACCACTTAGAGTGCTTTCGTTGTTCATCATTCCGTGTACCTCACTATCATTCATATTGATGTAGTTAAATGTATATGCAAAAGATTGATAAGTTGGTTCCTTGCAAAGGATTTGTTTCTGAAAAAGTAACATGTTGAAACATTCAGATATCCTCATTAATTTCACAACTTGAGTTTGCCCTTTCCCTGCCTCGTAGCTGTGTCCATAACTTATGCTGAGTTCATTGAAGAAAGGACGTCAGTAACACACAGGGTTGTGCGAGTCCAGACTTTTAAAGACTAAAGGTGAGGCTACTGACCAAACGATTGTGAATGGGTAGAATAAGTAAGTATGTCATATCAGAATAGTAGAAATTTGATTACAATCGTTGTTGTGTGGAAAGATAGTTTCTAAAACTGTTTATCTCTCAGGCCAGACACACAGCAGCAGTAGTAAACGAAACTGTCAAGGTCTGTGTGAAAAAAACAGCAGTAATAATCTGTTTTAGGGTCATTGAACTGAGTGAATGTGTGCTTTTTAAGAGCCTTAATTTATGCATTAAGACGTCTCATTAAGCAAATAATAGTGGCAAATAAATCCATAAATCCTTTTATTTGCAACCAATGTCAAGGTAGAAAGTTTAATGTCCCCTTTCCTTTCAAACTGGGAGTAATAAGCCATTCTTTCTGAATTGCATATAGTACTTTTGATTAGCATAAAGCTGCCGCTCTTGGTCGGACCCTCTGCACCTTCAGGTGAATATATGGCATTCATCTTTTATCGAAGTCATGAGCAGACCCATCATCTCTCCACCAGGGAGTCAGGAGATATTGAAGACAAAACCATATTAAAGATGGAATTGATGCATCATATTTATTACATTTTTACCTCAGCTTTAACGTTGAATGCCTTTTCATGTTTAATACAACATTATTTTGTTGTTTATATTATTCCCTTGTTGTCTTTGCCATCACAATATGTTGATTTCAAGTGGAGCAGTGTGTGTGTTTAGAAAGAAATAGTGAAAAAGGTTCGCTTGATTGGTCCAATTTCATTTGATTAAGAAAGCAGGCGCACCGATTGACAAGGCCTGCAGATGTTTTTATGTCCACATTCTTACAGTAGAAATGTACAGTATGTGTTTGGACGAATGCTGGCAACACACAGATTTTAATTTCAATGTTTTGTTTTTGCAATGTGAACCAAACCAAACTACTAAACAGTAAACATGGTGCCTTTAATCGCTCTGCAGGAATGAAATGACTTGTGCTGCTGCAGTTGAGCCTGACCAGAAATAAAAATGCCCAAAGTATACAGAATGTTAAGTGAATACAATTGCCAACCATGTGCTTTAACTGTATGTGTCACAAAAGAGTCTGTTGAGGGGATGTGATCAATAAAAAGGCAAAAAGGTTAAAAAGGGAATAAAATTTATTAAAATATATACAAAAAGGATCCATTAAAAAGAAGATAAAAACACATTGCCCGCTTGTCCCCGATGTCCTTAAAAAGCCCTTCTCTGTCCCGGGACACCAGGACGCAGTCTCGCCAGCCACCCGCCAACCACAGTTCGCCACCAAACACCGGGGGGAGAGCGGGCACATCCCAGCCGTGATGTGGGCCTAGCTCGGCGCGTATACGCCTTCTGCGCATCAATGTGCGCCCATCACCGGTGCCGCTCTCCCTGCTGGCCTCAGTCCCCCGTGGTCTCTGGCTGGCGGCGCTCCTCCTTGGCCAGGTCCGGTGTCCTCTCGAGTTCTCTCCGCTTCCCTCTCTGTAGTGCCCGCCCCCAATTCATGGTCTTCTTGATTAAAAACAGGTGCGGGAAATTGGGGAAGTGTCCAAGGAACCGTGGGATGAAAATGCATGCATAAAACCATAAAAACACACAAAAACACAAAGTCCTTATCAAAGTCCACTTTCCCACATACTGTATGTAAGCTAGCAGTTTTATTGACAATTGCAGTTCCAAAGTTTGATAGTAATAAGCCATAGTTGTGAGATACCTTAAAAATCGCCCCTTTTGGCTCAATTGGATAAAGCTTGTTGAGTGTAGACTGGGACCAGAGGGGTCAGACCGGTTTGGGAGCAGAGTATTATGTTTTTTATGTTTTGTAAATTACAAAATAAGGAAATATACCAATTCAACAACACTAATCATCGAAAGGTTTGGGGATAGAATGATACGAGCCTTTCTTTACTTTGCTCAACGCACGACACGACCTCTGCTAACTAATACTTTATGGTGCTTGACCAGAGGTTAAGGGTGCTCACTCCAAAACAATGAGACATCCATTTGATCAGCAGATGTCGCACATTTGAGCTTGATGGCGCACGCTCCGTTTGCCAGATGGCGCGGCTGATTAGACGATGTATCCTTACAATGACACATGATGATGCTTTTGGAAAATAATGTTCAGCAGGTGTCGAAACCCTGAGCACTGCGAAGAATGAAAAGTTAAACAAGGCGTAT